CTTGATGAATCATTTTCCTTCCCAAAGATCAATATAGGTGCTTGAATGTTATTAATTGCTTTCGCTTCACCTCGCCTCGCCTCACTCAGATTTTGTCTTGCCTCTCTGCACCTTGATTCGACTTGACTAGTAATTCGCCTCAGTATTCTCTCGCACACAGACATTAACCTCAATGCTCCAAGCTTGCTCAATGTGTTTGTACCTTTGCAATCTGTGCTATCTGCTAATGAAATGTGGTTGCCGCTTGTTATTACCTTCTGAATTCAAACACTGTTGGGGATTAATATGATAACGGTTATCAAGGTGATTGATTGACAAAGCTAAGCCACTACAATTTCCCACTTTTCTAAACATCCTTCAATAGTATTAATTATCCCACCACTGTCCCATACTAGTAGATGTTTTAGTCAACTTGTTGATACAAACTTTTCATAATATTTCAAAAATGAAACTATCTGGAAAATATCAGAAATTTCAATTACAAATGTCTGGGCAATATTTTCATTTTACAACTCGTAACAACTACATGCATTTTTCATCAGTTACTAGATTCTCCTTTTAATCCTTATTTTAATTGAAATTAATCTCAAACAAATAATTAAGATCTTTCATAACACAATTATTTATACGTGTAAATTGTTAGCAAATAACACATGATAAGTTGAAAATGCATGATTAATACATTCAGACTAGAGGAATGAATGATGTGTGTTTAGTTAAACAACTAATGAATTCTAAAGATAAAACAATGATTAAGAAATTAGACATAAGCTGATAAATTTGGCATTACAATAATATCAGAAAATATTCCTAATTCAAACACTTTGCTGAATTCATGACATCAATCATTGAAATAAAACTTAAATCAAGTTCTACTTCTACTTCTCTTCTTATTGTTTTTCAACACAAATGTATTGTGTTTATTGAAATAACTATATGGTGAGTTTCGAAATCGATTTTCAATGAGTGATGGATATTTATACTTTATGGTGAAATCAATATACCAAACGAAAAAAAATTATAAGACATACAGTTGTATTTATAATCATTTGTTAAATAAACTAAACTCAATTAATGATTGAGCTACTATTCAGATAACAGAGTATTTTCTTTTGATCTTAACCATTCAATATTCAGTGAGAAATTATGTTGTTCTTCAAATTGATATATTTTTAAACCGTGATGGATTACAACAATTATCTTTTGAGCATGATGGGTTTCAGATGTTTTTAACCTGGCAAGTTGATCTTATCGGTATTTTTGACTGAAAGTAACTCTCTTGAAGTGTTAGATATTTCGAAAGCTGTTTTCCGTAATAATAATCCATTCAATTGCGGTGAAACTGTAAAGTACTCTAATATAGGTATTTTCTTCTCTATATAACATCTGTTTGGTCCAAGTATCCTACTAATAAGAGCAGTATGCTGTATGATATGACTAAATCAGATTGACTATGTTACGTGTTAGTATACTTATCACTCATCGAGATCTTATGCTAAAGAGGTAGGCTCAATGACTAATCTTCTTTCGATAACGATATATTTAAATAAAATAATGTGTGGCGGAAGGATCGAAAACAGTAGAACTATTTGCAGATCTCTTCATATTTGAAACAGCTTGATTGATTTTTCTTTAATGCATGGAATAAGGAACATGAATTAACATTTGACTGATTTTGCTATGAAATAATATCATCAACATTGGCAACAAAGCAGATCAAGTTCTTCAAATGTGTAGAATAATTCAATATTTGTGTTTTCTGTCGTTTCGTGTGGGCCACTTCTTCAGATGATATTTAAATAATCTAAATTATCACAAGCTTAAATTGTACTAAGGAACGAAGGGAGAATATTTGGTGCGATCAATCAAAAATAGCTCTGACCGATTCATCGTCTTGCCATTCATGTCAAGGTGATTTATTTGAGGCATGTTTGTGTATGTACGTTAAAGGATGAAAAAATGTGACATTTGTGGTGCGATAGGATAGAGTTGGGTCTGTATGTACGATATTAATGTGAGATGTGAATAGAATGAGACATGGTATCTCGTATAGATGGTCGTAGTCGGGTGAATTGTGAGACATTCTTTTCTACTGGAGGTCTTAGGATCAAGCAATATATGAAAACCTTCAGCTTTTCACCTTTCTTTGTAGTTGTGAAATTGTGGCGTTTCTATGAACTAATAATTCTTGATTTCGAATTCCAAATACAATACATTCGTTCTTGCTCATCTAGTTCTTCTTGGTATAAATTGCACTATTTCTATCACAAAAAGCCTCCCCTAAGATGAATGATGCAAGAATATGCCGGAATTATTTATTATTTACGATAATAATAGTAATAAAACTACTTAGTTTTTTTACAGAAAAATTTATACAGATTTCAAAATAGACTTCGTAGAAAATTAATATCTTATGAAAAGCCAGAAAACACAAATGAGCAGAAGCTGTTCTTAAATAGACCCAAAACATCAAAAGCCTCACAAGAAAAAGATATTAGTGTTATTACCGGTAACTACCTTTGCAATAGAATTTAAAAGTTCTGGAGAGAGCACATGTTTGAAAACATTTTAACACATGGCGTTTGTCACAAATACGTTTATTTTTCTTCTTACAAGAATCGGCAAGAATAGGTAAATTCGACATATTTTTGGTTAAAAAATAAACAGAACTTGAAACTCAAAACTCCATCAGGTTATCTTTAAAACCTTTGACAAGATTTCACGCCAGTTTTAGTGCCCCAACTGAGTGTTACAATACCTTAACATTATTATTGCTGTCAAAGTGACAACACGGATGTTGGAGACTTAACCCTCGAAATTTATTTAAAAATAACCAAACTTTATTCGTAATAGCAATCTATTATTTGACATCGAGAATGGTATCTCAAAATGCAAATAATTCGATAGTAAAACAAGTTGAATATATAATGCACATCAGCAAAAGTACACATTGTTTGTGATTCCGGAAGACAAGCACAAGGTGTATGAGTGGAAGGTAATAAACTTCAATAGTCCAATCACCAGGAAGGAATATTGTAAACACCTTACGCATTTGTCAAGTAATTGCTTCTAATTGTTGACTGAACTTAACTTGTTTTGGAAGAAGACTAATCTACTACCTAATCAATCTAAGAAATTACAAATAGTCACCTATTCACCTCACAGCTGATCATAATTTTTGGTGATCAGAACTGAATCAGTATTTGAAAGACAGTCAGATCTCAAAATCCAACGAATGAAGCCACAACAGGGGAAAGTGTCCAGTTCAGTCCTATAAATGCTATTAACTAACAATTTTACACTAGGTTTCGAAGAAAGCGCACATACTTCATGTACATATCCGATATCTAGTAGTTAGCACGACATTTTGAAACTTGAGAACGCTCAAATTTTGTTGGCCAATACTACTGTCTGTCATCGTTTTGACTGATATTGATTTTAGGGAGAATGATGTGAAGTCGTTTTTGAAAGTCCATCCTAACAATGTACTAAACTTTCATCAAACGGAATCTTGTCGTAAATAAATAGGTCAAACCATTCACAAAATCAAGACACTTGATTCCCCTGCTTGTGAACCTGAACTTTGTGAGCCGTCATACGACAATTGTAAGGTAGATGACACTCAAATAAAAAATTTCAGTTGGTTTTTACATAGTTAAGCTGTAACGTGGTGGTGAGATTTTATGTTTGTCATATGCAATCTATTCAGATATTGTTGTCGGCACACTTAGTACGTGGACAAAACTGACCTGTGCAAATAGAAGTACTATTCCACTAAATCCAAGTTATTCGGAATGGCTAAAAAAATCTACTAACGATTTCTTGCTCTTATATCACGATGTACAAATGTTATACACGAACGAATAATAGATGAATGATAACTGCTCTGAATTGTTCATGGACTGTCATTAAATATATTTCTATTGAGTAATAATTAAGTAACTAGATTATGTATATATACATATTCCGTTTTATCAAAATCGTCCATTTGACCTATTGGCTATTGTTAACGTATTCACAGTTTATTCTTCTTAGTATATCACACACAAACCCACTTTTGGATCGGTCTCGTATAATTATTACTTTTCATTCTATGGTGTGATACAGTCTAGTTTGTCTGTATAAAAACCACGTATATCTGAAATATACGATTCACATATCGCAGACCGATATTTGTGTTCTGGACTGGACGGACAGAGGACCGATTAGGCTCAGAGTTGACTCAACATTGCTGGTGCTGGTCGACGCATCACTGGTCTAGCACAGAGACAACGTCATGGATGTCAGTATTCTGATTGGTGATTTTGTCGCGTTGTATTTGACGGGACATGGAAAATAACAAGAAGATTTACCAACTGATGAAGGTTCAAACACAATTCCCAAATCTTAGATGATCTGAACCAAGTAAGTGAGTATAGCTTCATAAAATGTGAAGTATTACTGCGTAAGCCATAACTGAGTACATACAAGAAATACGCTTCAAGAAATGACCAGACGATCCTCGGTTATTCTTGATATCAACACTTAGTTGTAGCATTCGAAATCGTTAATCGAAAGTGAAACTGCCGCATTCTAAATCTTATCTGAAAACTGAGAAATCACTAAAATCAGTAAAATCTGCGTAGACCTCATAGACTTGAGAATAAATTAAGGGTACGTGACATCCATGTCGAATTACACAGATTTCTGCTTGATATGATTTACTAAACACAGACAGGTGCTAGCAGCGTTCATCTATTGATATAGAAAACTTGTTTGTAACCGCCCTGATGCAATGAAAAGAATTTAAACACAATTAGTACTGCATTTAGTGGACCGCAAATTTATATTTAATTGTCAACGTAAGCACTCAGCTATATGAAACAAGCATCATAGAGTTTTGTTTAAGTAATTTAAAAACAACTTTCTTAACGTAAAACATGAAAATAATAATCAGTGACGTACAGAAATTACTGAAATGTTGATGCGCTACCAGACTATTATTTTAACTGTATTAAATTTTACCAAACAATTCTTTGTATCACTTCATTCAAAGTGGCAGCACTCTTTCTCAATTTGCACAATTCATCCGCACTAAGTTCAGGCAGAATCAAATGACTGATTCCAGCTGAAGTAACAAGACATGGTAAACTCAAATAAACATCCTCTTCAATTCCGTGAATTCCTTTGATAGGAACAGAGAGTGGATAAACTGTATGAAGGTTATTTAGTAGTGCGCTACAAAGTGATCCACATGCCAACCCGATCGCCCATGAGGTGTAACCTTTCAAGCGAATGATGTCATAAGCACTCTGAACAACTTGCTTGTGTATTTCCTCGAAATTTTCAGGATCATCTTTGCCTCCTATCTTTGGATTTAGAGAAGAAAGCCGAACTCCAGCAACATTCACATTACTCCAAACAGCAACACTCGAGTCACCATGTTCACCAATTACATACCCATGGACAGAATTGGCAGATACTCCCAATTTCTCACCTAACAGAAAACGAAACCTCGCCGAGTCAAGCATGGTTCCGGTCCCAATTACTCTATGAGCTTCAAATCCACTCAATCTTCGAGCAACATATGTCAAAATATCGACAGGGTTCGATACGACGACTATGATGCAGTTTGGACTGTACTTGACAACATTTGGTATTATTTTCTTGAATATATCAACATTACGCTGAACAAGGTTTAGTCGTGATTCTCCTTCGTTTTGTCTGGCACCAGCAGTGATGACGACAATATCTGAATTTGCAGAGTATTTGTAATCGGTTCCTCCATCAATTTTGCACCTGCCAATAAACTGTTGACCATGCTGTAGATCAAGAACTTCTCCTTTAACCTTATCTGCTACGACATCAATAAGTGCGAGTTCTCCTGCCACTTGCATGGTAGAGAATGCTGCAGCCATTCCAACCATTCCAACACCTATAACAGTCACTTTACCACGAGAACGAGGCTCGATATTCTTCGAAGACAACGGTTTCATCAACGAGTTGGTAGATGAAGACATCCTTATAAAAACAATGTAATAGGATAGACAATATGACCTTGTGTACGGTTAAGGCTGTTGTTATTGATAAGTAGTTTGCAGAAGAATGAAGCTAGTAATCTTATGTTCGGGAATCTGAAATGCAGAAAACAGAAGTTATTGAGCACAAGATGGGGTTTAGAGGCTTCATCTAGGCTCATTTATATACAAGTCATCGTAAAGCGAAAACGTAATACACGTATCAAAACCTTACCTAGAAAGTTTTACTGAAGGGATGCAGTTAAACAATTTCAGCGTCACCGGTTCCCGCTTGAACTGTTATTGCGAAAAGAAGTCACCGATTGTCCTATTTAATGTTTCGTTTTTTATTGTTGTTTACACCAGATTTTGTTTGCAAATTATATTGTTATTAGTCGCATTCCCCATAGGTATGCTTACCTTGTTCAGTGGTTGGCATTGCTCATAAATTGTTGTTTAGGTCGATCTTGAATCCTCTAGTTCACTTGCGTGTTACAGTGATCACCGTTTACTGAATGCTACTACATATATCACATCTCACTCTCTCTTGATTAACTGAAACAACAGGCTGTTTGCGTTTGTAACTTATGCGTCTTAGTATTTTCTGGTCGAATGCATAATAATCCTGAATCATATCGGATATTTTAAAAATACTAATCTTTTGTCGTAAAAGGGTATTCTGAATAACCCAAAACCAACCACAGTCAAGCAACTGCTCACATTCAACGGCCTGTCAAGTTCTACCAACGATTCATACTGTAAATCACTGACGTAAATGATCTGTGTAGGATGATTGGGGCCCACTCGAGTTAAACCAACCCACTAACTTCGAAGTCACACCCCAAGATTGGTACCTGGCGTGAATTACCCTTTTGTCGTATCCAGGTACTAGTGCTGCTTTGGTGACCGCACAACACAAACGACGTTATTACAGAAATACGTTAGTACGAGTAGGTGCAAAAGAACAGAGTGAGACCACAGCTGCCTTGGTCGGGTGGCTTACTAGTGCCCATTGACATTTTTTGGCCCTACAATGCTGAACTGCGTGTCCCTTGTAAGACTACTATCACACCAACTTAGTGGAAATGCAAGATTTATCAACTTGGACGACAGTGCTGAGAAGGCATTTACCACATTGAAAGACGGTGTCACAAAGTGAACAACATTGGAACATCTTTACGTTAAAGTATATATTAGTATCGCTGTGGCTGCATCTGATTCAGAAGCACGTGACAACCTTTGGAATTCTTCTCGAGATGATTACAAGACACTTGCTCGAGGTATGGTTTTCCGACGGGGAACTCTTTGCTATGTATTCTTGTGCACGGCACTTTTGTCGATCTGTGAAAGGCTGAGGATCCTCCTTTACGCCGACTATAAACCCTTAACTTATGCTGTCTGATTAACCACCAAACTCACAACTGAAAGATTCTTCTGACTTAATATGAATAGAAGAGTGAGGTAGTGAGTACGCTCTCTAGTAAGCTACCAGAAATCTAAGTTGATGGCATACAACAAATATCCCCTAAGCAACTTCTCAACTCGTGGCGTTTGTTTCGATCATCAACATCTTGATTAGGTGGGACCCCAATTCAGATCAATTGTATACTCCTGTATCCGAATTTGTGAACCGTTCCATACAGTTGTCATGAGCATGCATATAAGTGATATTACTGCTGAAATGGCGATCTACCCTCACCGAATAATGGGTGACAGACTTCGGTTTGCCTCTAACTATAACCTAAAACCGTGGACACTTTCAAATCCGTAATTTTTTGTTATCTTACTGCGCTTCTTAAGATCACACGATTCGCTTCTATATTGCAGAAGCTAATTATTTGGTGTAGCGATTTCCCCAACAATGTTCTAAAAAATCTACTTTTCCTCCCATTCTTATGTTGTTACAATTGAAACTAAGTTAATATGTTTCGCATTCTCAGGATCATGAGCTCCAAAAGCTTTTGGAAGCTATTTATCGACAAGTCGCCGCAAAACCTGAAGATTATTTGCAACTCTTCGAGGAATGGTGTTTATTCCAGGTTTAAAGTACCATAAAGTTGCCAACATTTAAATCTTAAATTGCTTTAAGTCAATAATATCTTATTTTTAGGTATATATTGAGTGTGACATAATGTCTACACTCAGTTGCACGAATCTTCTGAGCCTGGTTTAGACTGAATATAGAGGAACTTGACATGATTTTATTGGTCCTCAAACGTTCTTCTGAACAAAATGTATTCTACCACCGCAATACTACTGACATTTAGTACTACCCTAAAGTCTTAACCGAAGCCATGTCCCTCCTAATCTTGACCCACCAAACTGCCACTCATAATTTTGACACACGACTACACGACAACCACTAATCCCTAATTCTTTTACTAAAGTGAAAAATTCAACAAATGGGTGATTATTGTTCACATCCAAACAGTTCTTCGTTCGTAATTCTATTATCACTTTTTGCTAAATAACTTCCAATCAACGGTGTTTTGTGATTAGCCAGTAATCAAATCAAGGTGGTTCAATTTGATTGTTAAGAGAAAAGACCACCCTTTTGGTCCTTCAAGGGCTCCGGCAAGGTGGTGAGCAACATAATTCATGTATGAGACCTAAGCTTAAGGCGAAACTGAGGGGCCATTTACTTCAGTTTACATTAAAGTTTTGACATATTTTCAGAGGCATGATACTACATTTTACTACATATCTTTATAGAACGGTAAAAGAGATAAATCCACTCAAAGCCTACCACCGTTCCAATAGTGACAGAATAACATTGTTAGAACGGGAACAAAGATATTACCAGCCTCAACAGATTGCAAGCCAAGTACTTAGGAGTTAGCCACTCTTATTTTATCCTCTCCACTGAACAATCGAAGGGCACAAACAATGTGACCTTCATGCAGTCGTTGATGACCAGCGACCACGAAGGAGCTTCACTGGTGTCCGGTAGCCCGTCTGAAAGGGTGCGTTTTGGGAGAAATTCGAGGTTCTCAGAACGCTCGAACGACTATTACATGTAGGACATTTTACTGGCTTATTACTTCATCTCATTTTGTCGTGCTCTACAATTTATTGGTTGAATTTTCAATTTTTATGACGTCGAAAGCACAAATATTTGTTTTAAACATGTTGAACTATAGACATATTCATAAAAACGTTGGTGATTAACACGCTAATTTATATACAAACAGACTTGGCGTATGCGTCCCTCAAAGTCAAGGCCCACAGCTTTGTAAAAACTACAGGCTTCTCAGGCAGTTGCATCGTATAAATATTTAGTGTCACAACTATTCTAACACATGAATCAAAGTTTGGACGTCCTGTGTTTTTCAAGGTCACAGAGTCTTCATGTTGCCATTACAGTTTCGAATATCTAGCTATTGACCCACTGGTACATTTATACTAATATTCTGACATTTAGCTTCAATGATTTTATCTATTTAATAGCCCTACTTTGGATGCATCTTAACTGTAGACCAACGTTGTAAAATATTGATCATACCTGTAAAAAGAGCATATATCTGCTCTTTCAGAAACAAATTATCATTACATATGTACATATTTCCGTGACAAAAGACTTCGGAAAACTCTTATGTTTTTTGTTTGTCGTATAGTATTTATACAAGCATCTGTAGTTGTATTGGATCCTAACTACAAGACCTTTGTAACCAAGCGTATATTTACTGAAAGATTTACATTCAACACGTAACACATTGAGAAGGTCAAAAGTCTTGAGCACGGTAACGGAAACTATTATTATGTGCATTATGTGCACAGAATGTCACATATGATCAAACATACACGTTTATACAGACATGATAATGATCACTACAATACAAAGAAATAAACGATTTGTTGCTGTTCGAATAACACTATCCGTTGGATAAGTTAATGAAAAGGGTCGACAAAATTAACCGTGATCAAAATTAAATGTAAGAGAGTTGCTATAATATAATCAATGATGAAATGATTAAACAAAACAAAAAGTCAGTTATTCTATTTCGTCTAACCTCTTAGTACTACATTATAATCATTGAATGTCGTAATAATGCATGTTTCATATATTGGCTTAAAAAATAATTGTACAGGGGAATTCAGGACTGCATGTACAGTGACAAAACAGCTGATTTGGATCAAACGGTTGAGTAATTAATTGTTTACTTCCAAGTGAATAGCTGATGATTATTAGGTAATATTCGCAGAAGCAGTAAGATAATTCCTTCCTAATTAATTTTATTCTGTGTTCTAACTATTATCGCTTCTATGTATTCTGAGAAATGCTACAGACCTCCAGATGACCAATTGTTATTTTTCAAAAACGAAGATTGGAAATCGAATCATATTAGCCAACCACTTTCTTATTTTACCACAATGAAGTAACAATCAACTGAAATCTAAATTCATGGTCACGTATTACATTTTTGCATTACATAATTCTATCAATAAACTTTAAAAGAACGTGAATTAAACGATAAACTGTATAGAAATCGATGCAAATGATAAAAACTCAGTTACAATTATTGCAACGTGTTATGTCTTTCATGTATTTTCATCATTGTTAAATTAAATTTTTTTGAATACATTTACTCTGATATCATTACATACTGATACCATTCATGTCAGTGACACATCACATTGTAATTTTCGGAAAAAAAACAATTAACAGGAGAAAAAAGATATCACTAACATTGAATTCCGAAATTCGTCCATCTATTTTTGATCAATTGTTATGTAAAACCTAGTTAATCCCTATAAGATGAGCGTGTTTAGAACAGAGAAAATCACTAGATGATTGAAAACCTGATTAGTAACCAATCGACATTTAAAAACATACTAATACGTTGCAAATTTACATGTGGTCAAGTTAAATGTGACGAGTACCAGTGAATAAGAATTCAAAAGTATTCACTTGACAGAATTACAAATCACAAATCTTCGGTTTTCTGACACGCGCACGTTGCTGGCATAAAGACCCATGTTGAACGTTGTAGAGCATCCTTACT